CAACAGTAAACAGAAAAGTGAAGATTGAAGAAGACAGATTTCAGTCATAAACTCAACTAGTGACCACTAACCTCCCAAAAACTCACATGTGACTCCTTTGGACTCTCAGTGCAGAGTAGTGCATTCAGCTCTCACTTTAGGAGCCAAATCACATGGTACCTGCCAATGAGAAAGACTGAGCCTCACTGGAAGCCATCCTACTTTTTCTACCCTACAATTAAACACAGTACTTATGTGATGACTTCAAAACTATCCCAATTCAGCAAAAACTTGAGCAATTAAGCATTAACCCATGAGCACCACTGTCAAGGCCATCAGCCTCTAATTAAAGTTCAGTTGCTACAGCGGAGTGGATGTGCAGTCACAGAGTGCTGCAGCTGGCTAACCCTGCTCCAGGATTCCCAGCCCCCAGTGGGAAACACAACAGGCAAAGGTGATTGTTTGGGTTCATTAGACCCAATTGTGCCACCAAAAACAACTGTGATTACAGAGAAGGACTTCAAGATCTCCCTCTACATCACTGTGTGTACAAAAGAGTTAAGGAAATTCAGTATTCAGTGGGTGGAGATAGGTAAACCCAAGGCTCTGGAATTTGTAGGAAACATTTAAAGCTCATCACAGCTTTCTGCTCCACTCCTCAGCTCTGGAAAAAATGAGGGAAGAGTGGGAAAACAAAGGATTAAAACCCTTTTTGTTTATGCAATCATGAATATGCCTTAATGATCATCTGTCTTAAAATCTGAGCTTCAAAGTGTTGAAATACAACCCACCAAAGTGTAAACACAATAAAACACCAACTGAAACTGCACCCATCATCTCCCATCCTAATGATATGGAGAGCTAAAAGAGCTTCTTGTAGATCCACTAAGCCCTTCACCAACTCCACAGCGAGGTCAGAAAGGACAGAAAAGTGCCACAGGTCCCTGCACTGCTGTGGAACAGCTCTCCCAACCCAACATCTGAGGTTACATCCTGTGCTCCCCACAGAAAGCACGCTGTGTGTCACAGAGGAGGAAGTGAGCTCAAATGAAACACACAAATAAACCCCTTCTGTCTCAGCCAATTAAACATTACCCTGGGCACAGCTTAATCCAAGAAGCATAAAATTAAACCCTTCCTATCTACCTTTCGTGCTACACTTGACTAAGCACGCCCAGCTGTCCTTGCAGTGTTGGAAAACACCCGAGTTTTTTCTGGAGTGTAAGCGCTTCTTTATCACAGGGTCAAACACTGAGCCTGTCCATCCTCAGCCTTTTAGCCAGAGGAGACTCAGGCAGGACTCTGCTCTCACTGCAGAGCTGACATTTATTAACCTGCAGACACCAAAATACTGCTAAGAAACCCGGGGATGAGTCAATACTTTCCCCACAGGAAACACCTTGACCTGCTTAGAGGAACAAACTGCTCAGAAGGACACTTGAGGACTTTTCTGAACAACTTTTGCTTTCTGCAGCAAAGGAAGGACTTGCTCAGCTTTCAGTTTGCAGCACACCTCCAGTTTTGAGCAGAGAAGGAAATTATTTAGGTCCTTAACACCAAATTACACTTTGGACATGCTAAAATGCAAAGAGACAATAATTGAAGCAGAGAGCTCTACAGAAGGCTGGTGCTTATCAAGAATTCCTCAGCTCTCATAGCAATTTGAGCAGAATAACCTACTGAACCGCCGAGGGCCTTTGGGAGCAGAACTCAGAACGGGAAGAGTTCCTCATCACCACTTTTAAACACGAAAAAGAGGAGAGGCTGCACCAGAGTCCCACTCCCCCCTCATCAGGGAAACCCCGTGAGGGAGGCCCTTGACCCCATTTCTCCAAAACAAAACCCAAATGCTGCACCTGTCCCAACCCGAGCAGCCCCATTCCCCCTGCCCTGTGCCCCCCAAGTCCTGGCAGCCCCTCCTGCCCTGTCCCCTACACCTGCCAACACCCCAATCCAGAGCCATTCCCTCACCCCTGGGTAACCCCCAGTGACAACTCCATGGACCCCACACTGACCTGCCTCCCCCTCCCCTACCCCATCCACCCTTCTCTACCCTGGCAGCCCCTACTGCCCCCACCCCAAACCCTGGCAGCACCCTCAAAGCCTCACACACCCCCAAACCCGGCAGCATCCTCACTGCCCACACCCCAAAACCCTGGCAGCTTCTCCAAAACCCTCAAGCACTCCCTGCAAAGCCCTACACACATCCCCAAACCTGCCAGCCCGCTCTGTACCCCAGTGCTCCCCATTCCCCAAACCTGCCAGCTCCCCTCAGTCTCCCCACACCCCAAACCTGCGAGCTCCCCTCACCCCAAACCTGCCAGCTCCCCTCAGTCTGTCCAGACACCCCAAACCTGCCAGCTCCCCTCAGTCTCCACACCCCAAACCTGCCAGCTCCCCTCAGTCTCCCCTCACCCCAAACCTGCCAGCTCCCCTCAGTCTCCCCACACACCCCAAACCTGCCAGCTCCCCTCAGTCCCCTCACCCCAAACCTGCCATCTCCCCTCAGTCCCCTCACCCCAAACCTGCCAGCTCCCCTCAGTCCCCACTCCCCCCAAACCTGCCAGCTCCCCTCAGTCCCCTCACCCCAAACCTGCCAGCTCCCCTCAGTCCCCAAACCTGCCAGCTCCCCTCAGTCCCCACACCCCAAACCTGTCAGCTCCCCTCAGTCTCCCCATTCCCCAAACCTGCCAGCTCCCCTCAGTCCCCACTCCCCCCAAACCCTGTCAGCCTCCTCAGACCCTCACAGCCCCACACAGCCCCTCGCAGCCCCCAGCCGTGCCCCAGCCGCCTCACCTCGCCCCTGAGGAGCCGTCCCGGTGCCGGCGGGGCCTGCACGGCGGTCCGGTCCCGGTGCCTGCGCTCGGCGGCAGCGCCGCTATGGCAACTGCCCGGGGCCCGGAGCGGCCCCAGCGCGGCCCGGCGGGGCAGCGGCGCCCCCTGGCGGCCAGGAGGACTCCGCGGCGGCTCCGAGATCCGCGGGTTCGAGACCCGGCCCGGGCAGGTGGAGGAAGAGAAGAGAGCCAGTCCCCGATATTTAATGTGAAAAATGCATATTTTATGATTGGCTTTACGCAAGTATAAATATTAATATTATATGTGTAATGTTAGAAAGTTGCGCTGTATTAATTCTCTTAAGTGGTGTGTTAAATATAGTTTTAGGTCTTAACATAATGTTAAAATAGAAACTCTGCAATGTAAGGTATCTTTTACCAGCTCAAGAAAAGGGGTATGAGAATTAAGAAACTCTTTGCACAGAGATAACAGAGACAGGGCACACAAAGAGTTACAGCCTCCTTATGGGAAAAGAAACATTCTTCCACCTTCTCTACGTCTTTATGGAACCACCAGGCAAGAAGTTGACAAAAAACAGAAAAATTATTAATTTGCAAGGAATATATGCATAATGTATGCATATATGAGTGTGCAACAGGCTATTGCTTTTAAGGGTTATTCCTTTGTTCACAGGGCATGCTTTTGGCAGCTTAGTGTCCAAAAACATTCAGACATCTATAATTCTTTGCTTTTTATTGTCTCGTGATTGTCCTAACTCTAAATTTTTATTACTCTAATTGTATTACTATTTTTATAACATTTTATTATTACTAAACTTTAAAAAATTCTAAAAACAAGTGATTGGCGTTTTTCACATTTAATCACACTTTTCTTCCTCCTAATGTCCAACCTGAACTTCCCCTGGCACAGCTTGAAACTCCTGCCCTCTCATCCTGAGACAGATGGACACACATCCCATACAGACACACACACATGTGCACAATTTGTGTAAACACATATTTATATGTGCATTTTATATGTATCAAGGGCAAATAAGCCCTTAGTGCCAAAAAGGCACCCCTGCTGCTTGGAGAGGTGCCCTGCCTGCCCTGGGGTGGGATTCACTGCCCTGCTCCAAGCCTTTCCAGAGGTTTTCCAGCTGTTTTGGGCATTGGGAAGAGGCAGGGAAAAAAAACATCCTGAGCTCTGCATTACAGAGCTGCAGGAGTGCCTGCCTGAGCAGGGAGGGGAAAGGCTGAACGAGGATATTTAGGTCAGAAACTCCTTTAAGCCTGATTTTACTATGCAAATTTAGGGCAAATCAGCTTGAGCAGGAAGTCAGGTTTTTCCAGATGGGGTGAGAGATTCCCATGGCCTGAACGTTCCTGCTGTCCCCACAGAGGGAAGCAGCCACAGTGACACTGTCCCTGCAGCAGCACAGCCAGAAACTCAGCACAGCCCTGGGACCTCAGAGCACACCTGGGAGCAGAAAAGCTGCCACACAAAATCCAGCCAGGCCCCAAATCACACCACCCTCCCCAAATGTTTCCCAAAAAGGAAAAAAAAAACTCCCACAGCTGCAATTAGCTGAATGCCAAGGAGAGAAAATCCCCCCCAAGCCAGGATGATGCCAATGAAAGCTGGGATGTGAAGCTCTAAGGAGCCCAGACTTCACACCATCACCTTTCCTGACAGACTGGCAGTGTCCCTGTTGAGTCACCACCCTGTGACTCCCTGGTGACCGCTGGAATTTCTTTTGTCATTTCTCAGGGATCACAGGGAAGATGCACACATGGCTCGTCTGGTGCTGACTCTAACGAGGGCTCAGAGCACGTTGTTCCTCTTCTCATCCTGCTGGTTAGGGGAAGGAAACATCTGGAAAGCCCTCTTGGTTCAAATATAACCCCTGAGGTTTCTATTTGGCTCTTCCCTGCTCCACACTCCCTCACAAGAGCTTTGCTTCCCCTGCAGAACCTCAGGCAGAGAGATAAATTAGTCCCTGAAATGTGTGTACCCCACCCACAGCTCCAAGAGAGGAGCTAGCGAGGAATTAACTAACAAAAATCAGCTAATAAGGTAAATTTCTGCTTGTGAGTTCCAGCCACGTCAGCACAGGTCTCCAGCAGACAGGAAAACCATCCTCCTCCTCCTCACCCCAACCAACCAGGCTGCAAACCCCAGAGCCAAACCTCACCTCCTGAGCTTGGAGAGCCCAGAAATGCAAATAAATGCACAACTTTAGAAAGTTTGCAGTAAAAATTATGTATTTAATGTGCCAAGCACAGCCTTAGAGGGCTCCAGCAGATGTGATGCTGTGTTATTAGTTTAATAAGCATGCCCTAATTAGTCCCAGCCCCTAAATTCTCCATCAGCTGCCTTGAAGTGCAAGCCGTGGCTCAGCTCACCTGCCAAGGAGGTCTCTTAAACTGAGGGTATCTGAGACATCAGGGATCAAGAGGAAACTCCACATCCAAGCCTCCCCTCTCCTCAGGAGGTTGCCAAGAGCAGCTGGAAAGCACTGGAGCACGGGAAGATTATTTTAAACATCACCACATGCAACTGAATAGGTCCTTGAGCATCCAGCAGGGCCAGCTGGTGCCAGCAGGACCCATCTGCCTCAGCTGATCCAGATCAGAACCTCCATCAGTTATCAGCAAGCCTTTACACAGCCCAGCTGTGCCCCAAAAACACCAGCAGGTCCCCACAGGGCCTGGTGGTACTCTGGGGAGAAGGGAAGATCAAGTGTCTCATTAAATCCCTGCTCATCAGCAGCCTGTCCCTCCCCAGTCCTGCTCCACATTTTAATTAAGTTCAGAGCAGCTGTTATTAATTGAATTCTAGCTCTCAACAGCCACAGCAATGTGCAACAGCTTTTTTTTTGTCTTTTATTTCTGAACCAAGCCCACTGTGGGCCCAAGGATGATCAGAACTCCAGGAGAAGAGGGCAAGGACCCATGGGGGAACTAAACCAGCACGGGGAAGTGTGGGGTTGTGCAGGGACAGGGCAGCTGATCCCAAACAACACCTGAGCACAGGGCTGGCTCTGGGGTTGAAGACAATCCTGCAGCAGAGGGCAGAACCTGGCCGTCCTGCTGCCCTCACAGCCCAGCCACTGCAGGCACAGAGGGCTCCAGGGAACCCCACACTGAGTTTTTCCATGGGGCAGAAGAACAAGAGATTTTTCTTTTTGCTCCTTCCCGGGGCTGCAGGACTCTCAGTCACTTTGTAAAACCTTCAGTGCTTGCCTGCTTTTGTGCAGCTCTCTTGAACCTTGTGACAATTGCTTTTCCATGCCATCAGAGTCCCTGTGTGGGTGTCACCAGGCTCGGGTCCAGCACGTCACCATTTCCAATGTCCAACTCCACCTGGATCCCTGTTGGCTGCAAGGAGAAAAGAGCAAAGCTTATCCTCACACTGTTGGACTCTGCATCACTCCCTCTCCTGTATGAGAGCCAAAAGTCCCAGTTAAATCCCCCCTGAGGATTTCCTGCTGCTGGTGCCCCTGTTTTAACTGGGTCTGCTGAATGCAGAGATACAAATAGACAATGCAATTTAGCAAAGAAAGAACATCTTGCTCTGAAACATCCCCAGACACACCATCATTTAGCACATCCAGGATGCATTTCACTGCCTAGCACACCACCATACCCAAATTTGTTTGGATCAAGCAGCAGAGCAGGCTCAGAGCCAGGAGGCTCAGGCAGTGCTGCCTGTGCACAGGCAGGCCTCAAGCTGAAGTCACCTTTGAAGGTGTCAGAGCCATTTCCACAGGACCCTCACTGCCCACACACCATCAGGAGAGTGAAACCAACACCAGGAACACAGTGACCTGGATTGGAAGTGGTGCCACTCATTTATCCTGCCTATAAACACCAGCCCAGGCTGTTTGGATCTGTTCTCTTCTCTTCTCTGCAGCATCCAGCCAGGCTGCACAAGCTGCTCTCCCACTGCCAGGCTGGGTCCAGCCCCACTCCCACAGAGCCAGGGCCAACCCCACAGCTGCTCCTGCACTCCCAAGGGATGGATCCAGGCAGCCTCACCTGCCGGGGTGACTTTGCCAGGGAAGCAGCACGCTGTGTGCTGCATTTCTCCCTCGTGGCCTCTTTGCTCTCCAGCAGCACCCGGGTGCTGGGCACGAAACTCCAGGAGCGGCCCAGGGCTGGCTTCAGTGGGCCAGTGCTGCTGTCCCTTGTCACCTGGTTGGTCACCTGCAGCACAAACAGACTTGGCAGTGCCACTCGGTGTAGTGACACAGTGGAGGTCACCAGGAAATCCTGGCCAGGCTGCTACTTCTATGAAGGTTTTTCCTTCTCCTTCAGCTCCTCTGCCATCCCCTCTGAGCACAGCCCAGATAACTGACCCAGAGCAGTGCTCAGGGAGTTCTCTGATATCTGCAAGCTGCATCACTCCTGCTGCTGAAGTCACCACAAAGTTTAACTTAGTGCCTCCAAGTGTCCTTCCAGACACGCTGTCCTTGTCCCTTTATCAGAATGAAAGGCAGATCTGTTCAGCAGAGCACCATGCTCTGGTGTGGCCTTCCCTGTTCAGACACATTAATTGTGGTCCCAGCCACGTCTGGAGCATTGGCCAAGAGCTGGGGAAGGCTAGAGCAGGGCCCTTTGCAGCCCCTGTGGGATGATGCAATGCCCTGCAGCTCCTGCAAGGTGACCAAGAGGTTACCCAGGAAGCTGGCCAGCCCCTTAAATGAATGGTGTTATATCAAAAATAAACATAACCAGCCTTTCAACCTGCCTGTACTTAACTCTGCCTTGCTCAACCCAGTGATTGGCTGAGGACAGCAAGAGCAGGAGGCAGCATATCAGCACAGGTCCTGCCCCATGCTTGGAATAAGACATCTGCAGGATGCAGAGATGTCAGGGAGCAGAGTACTGGGGGGTTCAGGCCTCTGGCTCTCTCTCCCACAGGCTCCAGAGCCTCCCCATGTCTCCTTGCCACACTCCAGCACTCGAAGGACAAAGCACAGCAACACTCACCACAACAGCAAGGCTGAACTCCCTGGCCAAGGTCTTCAGCTCCCTGGAGAGCTGCATCATGAGGGCCAAACCTGGAGCAGGACAAAGCATTTGGCTGTCTGGGGACCAGCCCCTAAAGTGCACCCTGGAAGCAGCTGGATTTCCATGAGCACTGGATTCGGGGTCAGCACTTGTGTTCATGGACACTTTCACTGGACCATTCCCCATCCTTTCCTATCTTAGAAGGCCCAAGGTCAAAAAAATCCTACAAAGCATCAGGAACTCCAGACAAAGCTGGCCAGTTGATTTAGCAGGCACAGGACTCATCTCTCCAGCTCACAGCTGCATTTCCTACAGCCCACAGCTGTGAGGGGACCTCCTGTGATAGCACTGGCTACCACCCAGCTGTGCAAGACCCTCTGGAAGGTGTCTGAGGGGGGCTCCTTGGCATCCTCACTTCTGATTTATGGTCCTTTCTGACATAAAGGGCCACAGAGGAGCTCTGCAAACTGTGCCATGATATACTACTGTCACTGTTAAGTGTTAATTTGTGGGCAGAGAGTCCAGTGCCTACCTGGATGAGTTTCAGACCATTGCCACGAGCAGCCACAGCCAGCTGGAGTGTTTGCTGCTAACACTGCAACAGACCCCCTTTTATCCAGTCCCAAGGGAAAAGCTGGGAGCAGTCACATCCACATTTGTCCTGCTCCAATCCCCATTCCAAGAACAGCTCCCACAGTGAGCAGCTCACCCTCTGACTGCCTGCCACCCAGCAGAGGGTAAATCACAGCCGACACCGAGTCCAGCACCACCACCTTGAGAGGCCCCATGGAGCTCACCACCTGCAAGGAGGCACCAGGTGCAACGTGGAGTCATAAATCCAGCAGCTCTGGAGGCTGTGAGCTGCACAGAGGCTCCAACATCCCCAGGATGAGGCAATCTGGAGTCACCTGTCAGGCACACAAGCCCTGCTGCCCTCCCTGTAGCTCTGGGGAGGGGAGAGGAGCCCCAAGGCTCGCTCCTACCTGCTGGGAGAGGCGATCCCGCAGCTCCTGCAAGGCACGCAGCACCTCGTAGATGTTGAACACACGTTCCACCCTGACCCGCTGCAGGGCCTCCAGCTGCAGCACAAAACACAGCCTCAGTCCCCCCAGGATTTGGCCTATTCCTCCTGCCCCAGCTGCCCCCAGCTCTCTGCACTCACACCATGCCACAGAGCCTTATTCTTCCACATTTGCCTCCACCCCATTAACACCACTGCCCCCATGGCACTGATGGAAAAGCAACATGGATTGAGCTCAAGTCAAGTCCTATAAGTCCCTCCCTTCTCCCAAGAAAAATAACAAAGAGCAGAGTCTGTCCTGAGCATGGCACCCACCAGGCCATGGAAGGAAGGGTTTGGACTCAAAAAAGCCCATGAGGACAAAGGCAGAGCTGGAAAGACAAACCATCTCTGGGGTTTCTTGCAGGCAAGAGCAAAGTGAGTTTCAAAGCAAGCAGAGGAACCAGCTCCAGGGGAACTTGCCTGCTCTTCCTCATCCTCTGTCTGGGCTTGGAGCATCTGGTAGAGACGGGAGGCAGTGAAACCCCCCGTGGAGTCGAGAAACAGGACGTGCTGCTTGAGCCCCAGGGACACGCTGGCTGCAATGCCCAGGCACAGCTGGGGGAACAGGGACAGGGTGTTAGCCAACCTCACATGTCCCTCTGTGGGACATCTTCACCGTACCTGTCCTCTCCTCTGTCCTCCACCCCACTCACCTGCGTCTTCCCAGTGCCTGGTGCTCCCATGAGCTCCGTCACTTCCCCTGTGTACAGCCCCGAGTCCAGCAGCTGGTCCAGGCTGTGGGATGGACACAAGGTGGGATTACCAACACCCCTTCAGCCAGAATGACAGGAGCACCAGGAGGCAGCAGTCCCCACATATTTGCCCCCATAGTCCCCTTCCCAAATGCACATATAAGTGCATGGGGATGGTTTGGAGAACGAAATTCAAAGCTTGTGCTGGCAACCACAGCCTTGTGCAGCAAACCCAGCCCCAGGCAGAGCTGGTGGGTGGGTGAGGTCCCCACCTTGGGCTGCCAGTGGGCAGGATGGCAGTGGAGCTCTTGAGCTCCTCGTAGAGGTCTGCTCCGTTGGCAGGGAAGGCAGAGAACTGGGCCAGGAGCACACGTCTGACTGCGACCAGCGCCTGGGGGCAGAGGGATGTCTGGAAATGGGACTGATCAACAGCCAGTAACTGCTGCAGAAGGGTTCCCAGACAAGCCCATCCTTGTCCATGAGCCAAACAGCTCTGAGCTCCCTGGTTTATGTACCAGGAGTGAGGGGTAGTCCCTTCTACCTTGTAAGACAGGGAACACTTTTGGGCAACATCCTCCAGGTCTGATGACACGAAGTCCACCACTGCAAATAACATAAGGGACAAGAGGTTGGAAGCCAAACATGGTCAGACTACAAACACCAGAAGACAACCAGCTTAGGCAAAACCTGCACCAACAAGCAAAGTGGCTGTGCCCTCTGTCAACACTATGAGTGGAGGAGTTTGTCCTCTGAGATGGCCCCATCACTCATCACAGAATAAATTGTTTCTTGTGAAACAGAGCAAAGAGAGAAGGTGGTAAAAATTTTCCCTGTTTTGCTCAAGAGCTGCCCAGCACCATTTCCTTCTCCTCTAAGGGCAGGAGGTGCCCAGGGTACAGCATTCCAAGAAGTTGGGCATTTTTCAGAGGAAAAACTGCACGAACCCTCCTGAAATACCACCAAAAAAGCCACAAATGATCAGTCCTCAAAGAGCCTCTGCAGGCATCTCTTACCACATCCTTACACTCTCCTGCTCCTTTGAATAAGTCCTCACTCACGGTATCCACCCAGGAGGACCCAGAAGAAATCCAGGAAGGAGGACACAGAAGGATATTCCACCACCACCACCCTCCCAGGATGTGGGAGGACACAGGTCCACCAAATGCACAGGGGATGATGTTCCCCAAGCCCAGATGCCACGCTGTTACCTGTCCTGATGCCATTGGCGCTGAGAAGCTGGATCATGTCTTCAGAGAGACCAGGGCAGAGCCCAGCCCGCAGGACCACCATCGCCACAGGGATGGAGAAGAGCAGAGACCTGCGGACGAGAGGGGGAGTGGGATTCATGGAATCATTAAGGCTGGAAAAGACATCCAAGATCATCAACTCCAACCCTCAACCCTGCACCGCCAGGTCCAACACTGAGCCACGGATGGGTGGTTACGGTGGGTAATTAATTCTTCTTTGGGACCAAACAGCCCAAAATCCTGCACGGGGCTGGGAGCAGGGAAGCACAGCGGGCGGGGGTGGGCTCCCTCCCGGGACAAGAGGCCCCTCCATCCCGAGCCACCACGGTGGGTACCCACCGCCCGGGCTCCCCGCAGCCTGCCCGCTCCTTCCTGCTTCCTGCGCCGGCGGAAGGGCCGGGGCCGCTCCTTTTCCCGGCCCGGCTCGATTCTCCCATCCCGCTCCGGTTCCCTTTCCCCATCCCGGTTCTCGCACCCCGCTCCGGTTCCCTTTCCCCATCCCGATTCTCCCATCCCGCCGGGGTTTCCTTTTTCCTTTTCCCGTCCCGGCTCTCCCATCCCGCCGGGGTTTCTGTTCCTTGTCCCGGCTCTCCCATCCCGTTCCGGTTCCCTTTCCCCGTCCCGGCTGTCCCACTCCCCTGCCCCGGCCGCTCGCCGGGATCAGCACAGCGCTAAGGTCCCTTGCCACCCAAACATGTGTCACTGACTGTGACACTCCGGGACTGGCTTTGTCCCGGCTCATCAGCCAGTGCTGCCCGCTGGGAAATGAAGGCGCACGAAGGACTGGAGGATTTTGCTGCCATACAGATGTTGGGAGCTGTGTGTCCCTCCCTGGCTGCCCCGGAGGCTTGAATTTCTCCTGAGAAAGCTATTTTGGGGGGGTATTTATGATAATTATGTTTTTCCTTCCAGCCGAGGCCTGAAGAGGGCTCTCGGCACTCGCTGCTGAGCCTGCCCTGCGCTCTCAGCTCTGCCTTGAGCACCCTTTGGTTTTGTACCTCAGTTTACCTGCAGTGCTGCCGCTTGTGACAATGCCGCCTGTGACAACGGAGCTGTACTCTGGCTGGCGTGAGAAAGGCAGCGCTACAGCCCACGAGTACTGATATTTCAGCCAGCTGAGCCTTGCCGAGTACCTAAAGCCATGTTGGAAGGAGTTTCTGGTGTGTTAATCCAAATTAATGTTGGCAAAGCCGCTGCACTGAGTCTGTCCAGGGCAGGGATGGCATCTTACACTTTCCACAGATGTTGTCCTTGTACCTTGGACCTATTCTTCCAACATGTTGGGAGCTGCTCTTGATGAAGCTGTCTGCAGCTGTGGTGTTGATGATTTGCTGTAAAAGGATTTACAAATGGATTTGGAATCGCTTCCTGCCTGTACACGAGGGACCAGACAGTGCTGCTGGTGTTTGGTGAATAAAACAGGAGGCCTGGACAGGGAAGTTCTGTGCTAATTCTTGCTGCATAAGAGCCACAAGCCATAACACAGATCACACAATTAAAGACAATTATATTTTTGCTCATGGATGTGTCTGGGTCAGCCCAAGCTCTCCTCAGTCATTTCCCCATCCTGGCAGTCCCCGCTTTGCTTTTTAGCTGGGATGCTGACAGAAGAAGGCAAGGCCTGTGTTTGGGGGGACATAAATCAAAAAGCAGAATTCCTGGGGAACAGAGTGTGTTGAAAGGTTCAGTTCTCTTGGAGCTCAGTGCTGCTCTGTCTCCTGGTGCCACTCAAATTGATCAACTCCTCACAGCACTTCCAGTATGTTCCAGCCCAGACCTCTGTGTTAGCCCACCTCACATGTGGCTGAATGACCATGTGTGGGGTGGGTGGCAGCACCAGGGTGGGGTGGGATTTCCAGTGGGATGGGCTCCCAAATGCCCTGCAAGGAGGAGGAGGAGGAGGAGGCAGCGCTGGGTGTCAGTCAGCTTTCCATCCCAGGGAATTCTGGAAGGTGCTGGGCACTGCTGCAGCTGCTGGCCTGGGGCCACTTGTCCCCGAGGCTCAGCTGTCTCATGCTTCCCTAAATAGAATGGGAAAAGGGTCTGAGCACTGTGACAGGGGTCAGCCATCCCAGCCGAGGGCTTTTTTGGCATGAACCTCCCCCTTCCTGCTCCCCACACCCTTTGCAGCTCTGCAGGCAGGGGGGAGCTGGGATTTGCCCTGGCAGCTGGGAGAGGATTCCCTCTTGCTGCAGAGGGGTGCTGCCTGCTTGCAGCCAGGTGCCCCCCGAGCTGGCCCTGGCTCCCAGCCCTCCCCAGGCATATAAAGCACAAGGGACAAGGAGGGGACAGGCTGTGGTGACAGGTGACGCTGACAGGCAGCAGGAGCTGCCAGGTCCTGCCCAAACTTGGAGTGGGAAGTGAGCTCTGTCCTGAGCCACACGGACTCTCCGTAGTGCTGGCAGATTTCTTTAATTCCTTTTTTTGTTGTTGTTGTTTTTTCTTTCTTTCTTTCTTCTTTTTTTTTTTTTTAATTTACTCCTAAGGATTTACATTGGTGGGAAAAGCTTCTGAGAAGTCACAGCCTTAAGGAGCAATTTAGGTCTTCATTTTCAAAACTCTTTGTCCTGGTAAGCTGCTTTTATTAGTGTGTGTTAATTATATGTCAGTCTCATGGAGGAACTCAGCTTGAGGGAGTAGCAGGCGACCCAGGCAAATGGGATACAAATAGATGTTTTTTCCTTCAAGCTCTCCAGATGGAAGATCCCATTCAGCTGAAAGAGGAGGGCAATAAATATTTTCAGGCCAGTGATTATGAGAAAGCCCTTCAAAGCTACACTCAAGCCATAAAGCTCAACAAGGACAAGGCGCTGCAGGCGGTGCTGTACAGGAACAGGGCAGCCTGTTTCCTCAAAAAGGTGAGAAAAGCTCCCCTCACCTGGGCAGTACTCAAGGGGAGAAGAGCGGGAGGGCAGCCAAGGGCACTCACTGGCTGTGGACTGGGTGGTTTGTCCATTTATTGAATAGGGTGTTTCCAGCTGGTCTGAAATGAAATGTTCTGGGCTTGTGCTGGAGCTTCACTGGGGTGTCCCCCTGGGAAATGGGAACAGAGAGGTCTCAATGTCCATCAGCACTGGGGACATGCCCTGCTATTCCATGGCTAACAAATCTCTCCTTTCTGCTTTAACAGGAGGAATATGCCAAGGCAGCCTCGGATGCATCTAGAGGTAAGGAGGGGGTTGTTATGAGGAGAGCTGGTTACATTTCCTCAGCCTGCTCTCACATCTGCTTTTGGGACATTGTGGCCTTATTCCTTGATTTCCATTAACAGCCAAGTGCTGAGGCCACAAGGGAATTCCTGGAAGTTCAAATGATGTTCCGATTTGGTGTGCTGGTGCAATCAGTGCTAATGAGGCACTGATTGATGCTAATAACAAAGCAAATCACAGTTTGCACAGGCCATTTCCAAGCAACAAGCCCTGATGCCCGGTGTTTTGGATCCCTTTCCCAGCTATTGACATCAATGCTTCAGATATCAAAGCCTTGTACCGGCGCAGCCAAGCCCTGGAAAAACTGGGGAAGTTAGACCAAGCATTCAAAGATGCTCAGAAATGTGCCACCCTTGAACCCCGCAACAAAAACTTCCAGGAGACCTTGAGGAGACTGGGGGCCAACATCCAGGAGAAGGTAAATGCCAGGGGAACAGTGCTGGATTCACAGGCCAGGGGTGGGAAATCCATGCTCTGGGTTGCATCAATGGGTTGTTGGTCATACTGGAAATTTGTGGCAATATAGGGGGATAAATAGGCTCCATTGACTGGAAGTTCATACTTGATGTGTGTAAATCTGAGGATTGGGTTGATTGGTTAAATTAAAAAGTGTGGCAGCTCCCTCCTGAGGCTGGCCTGGTCCTGAGTGTCTTGCAAAGGTCTTGGCAAGGGTCTGGACCAGCTTTGGGCTGAGTCTGGCAGTTGCCACATTGCTAGAGTTACCTTTACAGGGGTGCTGAGAAGAAATCCTTGCATCACTACCTACTGTGAAGTCTCAGAAATCAAGGTTTAGGGCTGGCTCTGCCTGTGCCCCTGAGATGGGTAATGGATACTGATTGCTGAGAAATTCTATCTCCTGTTATTCAGCTTAAATTGCCTGTGGTTTGAGGGCAGGGAGTATTCTTGAAGCAAAAAAGGAAAGCTGCTCCTCGATTTTCTCCTCCTGATGCTCTGTGCTCTCTTGGCACAGCTGCGCATTCAGTTCTCCACAGACTCGAGGGTGCAGAAGATGTTTGAGATCCTGCTGGATGAGAACAGTGACAAAGAAAAGCGAGAAAAGGTGAGAACTGCCCTGGACTTGGCAAAATGGCTGTTTGATGGCAGAGGCTGCTCCAGGGAGCAGAGCCCTGCGTTCTCTTCCCCACCTCCCCTGGATGGAGGATGAGGGAAGGAGCTGGAAGGAGAACTGCACTCAGAGAGAGGGAAAATCACCCCTGTGCCAAGGGAAGGTGGCCCAACCTCCCAAAATACCAAAGTGGGATCAGCATGGACTTCTGCTCAGGTCCTGCCATTCTCCAGATATTCCCTCCAAGCAGTGACCCACTCTTCTTGGGCAGAGCAGAGCCAATCCCTAAATGCACCTGGATAAACTGTCTGGTGGAGTCTGAGCTGATCTGCTGCATCTGTCAGGAGATGGTTCCCACCAGGATCTCCCAGAGCTGCATGGGGATGTTCTGGAGGCTGGGCTGTGCCACTGACCCCTGGTTCTTCTGCCTCCCACCTAGGCTGCAAACAACCTCATAGTCCTGGGGCGGGAGGAAGCAGGTGCCGAGAGGATTTTCCAGAATAATGGGGTCAACTTGCTGCTGCAGCTGATAGAAACCAAAAATCCTGAGCTGATCCTGGCAGCTGTGAGGACACTTTCAGGAATGTGCACAGGACATAAGGCTCGGGTAAGGACAGGGTGCTTGGACCTTCAGTGCTACTGCCTTTTGCACCTGGGGAGGGGGAAATTGAAATAGTTTGTGTTGTTTGTGAGCAGTGGGAGAAGATTAAAACTCTGACTTGTACTGATTCAGGATTCACTGAGGAAAATAATTTCCCAGCTGAGCCTAGAGGACACAGGGAGGAAAGGCCTTTGCTAACACTGTCCTGCTCTCTCCTTCCTGGGGCCAGGCCACTGCCATTCTTCATTACCTGGGCATCGACAGCATTTGCATGTGGATGTCAGTGGACAATGAAGAAATCTCCCTGGCTGTCTGCAACCTCCTGCAGACCATCACCGACTGCCTGCTGGGCCAGGGGAAGGAGGAGCACCACGGCAAGGAGGAGGCTCTAGTGCTAGGTAACAGCACATCACCTGCTCTTCGTTCCCTCTGCCTACAGGAGTGGGCTCAGCAGGGAGGGCTCTGCCCCTGGGATTCCTCTTTATTCCTTGTTCTTTGCTGAAGTGGGGACTTTACCCTTCAGCTGTGCAGGAGGACCACCTGCACACAGCTCTTATGGATAGCTTAAATACTTCTGTTCCAGCCACACAATGGCTTTGAATGCTTTTGACTGAGCTCACCTACTTTCAGAGGTAACTTCTTGTAACTGCCAGATACTGTTTTGCTTCTGTGTAGACACTAAGAAGGATTTGAGGATGATCACAATGCGTTTGCTGGATATGCTGGTCAGTAAGAACGTTTCTGGGCAAGGGCGAGACCGAGCCCTCAACCTCCTCAACAAGAACATACCAAGGAAGGACCTGAAAGACCATGACAACAGCAGGAGCATCTTTGTCATCGACAATGGTGAGTCCTTACCCTCCACCCTGTTCTGATCTGGGAGATGTGGAGCTGTATGTTCTTGCCTGAATACCTGTAGGAGTGGTCCTTCCTATAAAATAAATCCTCTCTGGCTTCTTTTGGTGCATGCAAGCTGGAGCAAAGTTAGACTTATTAGCAGGGAACAATACTATGAGAAAATCAACTGTGTATGAGAACAAGAATCTTTGAGTTTCTAAAGGACTATCTAATATCTCTGGTTAGTTTCTCCGATGTATTTACCAATGTAAGGAGGATTTGGCTTGGATAAATTGTCTGGTTTAGGCAGGATGAGATGAGCACCTGCTGAGCTTGGTGGACCCATAAATTGATCAATTGTAAAACTGGATGAGGGTGAGGAAAATGTGTGCTGTGTGTTTTTATAGTAATTGTAATGCATGTATATGTTACCATCTTGATGGAAGTTATTTAATAATGATTCAGCAAAAGGAGAGTTAAGTCATCCAGAATCACTTGAAAGTGGCTGGGTTTTCCTCACTCAAAGCCTCCAGCCTTGGAGGTCAGTAGGTTTAATGTCTCCTGACAAAAATAACAGATCCAGCCAGGGGCCAAATGCAGTTCTGCTTATCTTTGAAAACTGGAAAAATGCCTGATGCTGCAAACCTGTAATCTCACCAGCAGAAGTTCCTCCTTAGTAAATATCTGAGTGTCTTTTTTGCTTAAGAGTTATGTGATTAGGCTGCAAAATAATTGAAAACTATCCAAGCTGGCTATTCCACGGTAAGAAAGTAACAAATAGTATCTCGAATTTTGCACAGACCCTCTCCCCTCTGACAGCCATATCACTCCATGGTTTGCAGGCTTAAAAAAGATACTGAAGGTGGTGGGCCAGATTCCTGAGATGCCTGACTGCCTGCCACTGACAGAGAACACCCAGCTGACTGCCTCTGTCCTCCTAAATAAGCTCTACGATGACCTGCGCTGCGACCCGGAGCGGGACAACTACCGGCTGATCTGCGAGGAGTACATCAAGTGAGTCAGGGCTGAGCCGGCCCAGAGGGCAGGAGCAGGGCTTCTTGGGGTGAGATCAGGCACTTGAAGTCTGCCTGTGCTCA